AAAAAAAAAAAAAAAAAAAAAAAAAAAAAACACACACACACACACACACACACACACACACACACACTAATTTTTATACTGATGTCTACTTCAACAATAAAGTGCTTAATTAAAATGTAAATAGTCATTGGTAATAAATTTCGAACTTAAGTAAATTTATACTTACTCATATGCTTACTTATATTATCTATACTTACTTATATTGCTGCAAAGCTTGATACGGAGCTACAACTGGTATAGCAAATAGCAGTTCATCATCATCAAATGGTACACCAGTAAGGCTATCTAGTAAGTCAGTGTCTACAGTAATGGGACTGTCGTCGATATCTTCAATTTCAACTTGATTTTTTGTGAGAATGTTTTCTGATGCTGCAGTTATTTTTTTTAAAGAAGTAGGCTTTTCCTCTTGCCTCTCATTATTATCTATCGGTTTATCCTTTCCTGATGAGTTTAGAATCATCATCCTTATTTTACGCTCCTCATCATCTTGATCTCTATATTTCAGTTTAATTTTCTTTAATTTTCCTTTTTGACCGCGTTTAACTTTAGAAGAACTTTTATCCGTTTCTGGAGAGGCAACATAAACCATCTCAATATTTGCTTTTTCTGACCGTTCTTTGTCTTCCCTACGTTTTTTTGTGGATTGATTCTTCTTTCGGGATGGTGCAGGTTTTATAATGACTGTATCTTCATCATTTATTATGTCTAGACTTTGTTGATCAACAGCATCTGTTTTATTTGTTTCGTCTAATAAATCAGTTTTAACAGTTATTCTACCGGTATCATGTTCAATCTTAACTTCAGTATTTGGAAATGAATTCTTTCCATATTCATTAATTGATTCACAAGCCTCGTTGATTTCATTTAGATCTGTGGATGAAATTTCTGGCTGTTCAATTTTATCTCCATTAATTTTATCTTCTGTAGTTCGAATTTTCCTTTCTCCTGCATGACGTTGTAAGAAACTATCTTCAAGTTTAAAGAGTAAGCTTAGCCCCATAATAAGATGACAAGATGGTAAAAAATTTTTTTTCCCGCGTATCATAAAACTTCCTGTACCTAAATATTCTCCTGTTGGAGCCGTTTTACTAACTTGATGACTATAAACCCAGTAAGAATTTGTCACAACCTTTGCATCCCACGCTACGCTGTATGAAATAGCCATAGTGCCAGCTTCTAATAATGTTTTGGGTGGAATTTCTTCTCCAGTTGTATTACGAATGATAACACTTGATGCGCCTTGAATGTCTGCATGAACATATATGTCCTTCGGTCGCATGTATCTATAAAGAAAATAAGAAATGAGAGTAAGAAACAAGTAAGAAAGCTCCAGTCGAGACTGCTCGACTAGGAGATACCCTGAACCCTCCAAGCTGATATTCTAATCAATCTGCACTTCTTTTATGCACACATACATACACATGCGCTTGGACTGCGCTGCAGTGTGGGCAATATTATGAGAATTTATTTGTTGAATAATTTCTTTTGTAGACATACGATCTTAATGAA